CCGAGTGAGACTCCAACTCAAAAAAAAAAAAAAAATGTGTGTTTCCCAGGACTCACAGAAACTCTACAGCTCAAGTGGAAGCTAGAAACTTGAGTTCTTTTTTTCTGTCCCTCCCCATTCTCTGACTTTGATTTTCCCAACTGACTTGTGATTTGATTTCAGGATCCAGCCATTTCTGGCAATGAGACACAGCCTTATCCTGCCTTCACTCGGGGTGTGGAGGATGACGTCTTCATGAAATATCCCAACGATGGAGGCATTGTCTGGGGAAAGGTATGATCTAAGCAATGATCCACTAATCCCTAACCTAAGGTTGAATCCCTGCTAGTGTGTTTGTACTTATTGTTCTGGGGATTTTTCCATTTGGGTTCTGAGATCAAAAGTTCTCTTTTTCTTAATAAATATTTGTCAATATAGTTAAGGGTTTTAAAAGTAACGTAGATGTTTCATATAATCCACTTTTCTCTAGATCAAGCCTAAATGATAATCAAAGTATTATTAACCCCTAGGAACATGGTTTTTTATTTATTAGGAAATATTATATGTGAGAAATTATTTAATGGATCGCTGTTGAATGTTTTTCTCTCCATAGGTCTGGCCTGATTTACCTGGCATTGTTATTAATGGGTCTCTGGACTGGGAAAGTCAAGTGGAGGTAAAAGGCCCTTTGTGGATACTAGGTGGAGTCTGGGTAGCTAGGAAGGGGCAGCCGTACCTGGGCTTATGAACATGACCATACCATGGACATGAGCATGGTGAGGGAGCAACACTTGAGGGGGTGTGTTCTGGGTATCAGTCTGTGTGTTATTACTTTACATATAGTAATGTTTTATTCCCAATTGTGATGTTGGTACATATTATTATCCATGGGGTTTAAGACCAGAAAAATTAAATTACTTGTCCATGGTTTGCGGTAACAGAGAGGTGATTTCCTCTCCAAGGCTAAAGACCCATGCAATTTCCACAGTGTGATATCTCCAGGAGGTACTGTCTTTTCTCTGAATTAGTTTACTTGTTGTTGTTGTTGTGTTGGGTATCCTTTTTAAGCAGAGTCTCCAATCCTTTTCTTTAGAGACTGGGTCTTTTTCTTTGTATATTTTTGTTCATGAACAGGCTTCTCCATCTTCACGATTATGTGTCCAGTCTCCCTATCTCCTCCTTCCTTGGGTTTCTCAGCTTTGCTTTTACCTTTCAGTTTCTAGCCTTAAAACTTGCTCTCTCAGGGAAACAGGTTCTTACTTGTAATGAGCCTGCTAGCCCATGCTTCTGGACCTGATATTTTTCCCAAATTCACTAAGCATTTTTTGTTTGAATGAATACATGATCCTTTATTGTTTCAAGAAGCCTTCAGCCCTATCCTCTGGCCAAGATGTGTGCCCCCTGAACTAAAGCAGCCTGTTTGCTTTGTTATCAATTTTTGTAATAATACCCATAAGCAGAGTTCTCATGTTAGGGTTAGGTCCTTCTGGAGAGCAAATGAGCTCTTCTCCAATCATGAGTATTCTTTCTGGGCAGGAATTGTATAGCAGGGCATGTGTAGCCTGTATGACCACAGAAGAGTTTGGGAAACCATGAAAAGGCTTATTTCCTGGGGCACCTGCCAAGGATTGAAGGGACAAAGAAGCAGGTCCTGTGTGAGCAGCAATGTAGTATATGCTGTAGTGTCTAGAAACTCTGTCAAGATCAAGTATTAATCAAATAGATATCAGTATTATGAGAACAAAGAACACCAGTTGTAAATTTAGGCATCAGCCACTGAGAAGGCCAAAGACCAAGACCATTTTGGGGGCTCTTTTTAAAAAAATATACAACAGGATTTTAACCAGTGGGCAGAGGTGCAGGAGAAAGATTCTTGTCACCAGGAATGTGACTGGCAGGAGCTAGACTAAATATTCATAACTTATCCGGATAAGTTGATTTTTAGGGCAAGTAGTCAGTCCTGGGAGAAGACAGATATTAGATAGAAATAACACAATCTGGAGACCATGAGTTCAGACCTGGAACAGCTTCAATAGAGTAGCAAAAACAGACAGTGCAATCAGTGATGTGTAGTCCTCTGGTTTCCTGGATTTCAGAGCCAGTTAGCAGCAGTAGAACTCTAGCTTTTGAATGAGATACACTTGGGACCAGCCTGCCTGGCTATAGGACGGTATATCTTCATTTTCTGGAAGTGGATGAAGAAAAAACAAACAAACAAAAAACCCAGAAAACAAAGACAATCAAGTAATAGAAGCTTATTGGGACAAGTTTCAAAGACTGATAAGAATGGTTCAGACTGAATTTGAGATTGTTTTCCTTTTGTCTACTACTGGACAGGTATTATCTACCTACTTACCTATCATCTATCTATTTATTCATCTATCCTCTATCCCTATAATCTATCTACCATCTATCTATCTTCTATCTATTTATTAGATAAGGATTCAAGTGAGAAGCTTCATGTTCTTCTCTTTATCACTTCTCACAGAGGATCACTTGAATTTTGATGGTCCATGCAGCGCACATGGACATGGGAACCTGCCAGGTCAGAGAAGTTCAGGACCATGCACTCCCTGACTTTTATCAAGAAGTTGGTTACTACCTTATGAACCCCACAGTTCACCAGACATTAGGGCATCAATGTCATCTTGAGGGTGCTTGGAAGTCTGGAGGCAGTGTTGGTAATCACAGGAATACCAAGTAGCATTTAGTGGGTGATGACAGGGATGCACACAGCTCTGTATTGCCGGGCATTCTTCACAAATAATCCTCTTGCTCCAAATACTGGTTGGGGCTAATGAGAAACACTTCATTAGGGGAATCACAGAATCTGTTAGGTAGCTCATAAGAGATTCTTGGTAAATAGAATAATTATAACTATATTATAAGACCTAATCAGTGATGCTGGTGTGGATGAGGCTGCTGATGCCCAGGTCTGGCCTCACCAAGGGTAGTATAAAACAAACAGCCAAGAAGCCTATGGAGAGCAAATTTGTGCAAGTGAGTACATCACTGGTTGAATACCAGGGAAGAGAGGACAGAAGCAATAAGGCAAGAGTTGAATACAGACAGGAGTGATGCAGAGCTGGTACCTTGGCAAATGGCAAATTTTAATACATGGGTAAGGACTGTTTGTGCAGCTTTTAGCGAAGTAAATTTGGTTGGCCAAATTTTCCATGTGTATCCCATACAGAATACAATTCTGACTCAGATGCAGCTGATGTTAACTCTACTTATTCAAATCCTCCATTCTCCACCCTATGCCATTGATTCTTACCCTGCTTAATCTCTAGCTTTCTGTTTCTGGTGGAAAGCTCTCTTTGTCTGGTTTTGTGGTTTCTGCCTCCATTTTCTCCTCATGCCCTCCCACTCTCTCACTCCTCTGAGAACCAGACCCACATATGTTGACCTATTTCTGTTTTCTTCTTTGTGTTCTTTGTTTGCCTTTTATCTAGACACATGGGTTCCTACTTGCTGTGACTATTGTGGATAAGAAGTGAAGTTCCCCCAGACTAAGTCCTCTTTCTGTTATTCCCCTTGCACTCCCTGTCAGTATTATTTAGCTCTTTAACTCTTAAAATGCAGTTTGACATAGAGAAAGCTGTTGACTGAGACTTACAAGGGGCCATAACGTTTCATAACAAGCAACCTGAGTATCTAGAAATTTGTGGGTCGTCACCGCTGCCAAGTGGTGTGAACCTACAATTTAAACATTGAGTTTTTACTTTATGTCAGGGTCTGAGCTAAGCACTATGAGAAGTATAAAGATCGCTCAGAATAATGTAAAACAAGGTCCCTGCTCTCAGAAATGTTACAAAATAGTTTAAAATGTATACCTTGAATCCATATTTCAGGTTAAAACAAAGAACTGCTTTCATTACTTGAGGGAAGGTGAAGACGTGGTTTGAAACTTTCTTGTTTAGTCCTTCCATTTTGTTATGCACAGTTGCAGCTTTCATGTAATTCTGAGACCATAGGAAACACAGATGCATTCTAGTTAGTCTAATATCATACTGGTAGTCAAATATCACAAAAATGCCACCAACGGGTGGAAAGCAATGACTTCCCCTTATCATGGAGTTGATGTCCTTTGGAGTTATACTTGTGTTCCCTTTCCCAATAGGAACAACACTGAAGGAACCCCCTGAGTGCTTCTTTCCAACCTGTTAGTGTATCTATCTGATGTCTCCGTCTCTCCTGCCTTGTCTTTGAGAGTGCCTAGAAAATGGCAGTACAGAAATTGAGGGTTGTGCACGTGACACACAAGACAGTGAGTTCAGGGTGTTGACTGTCTATATGAAGGGGAAAATAGCCTAAGAATATTTTCCAAATCTGATAAGATGTAATTTGTGTCAATTTCTCCTCTTTGACTCCAAGTTTCTTTAATAAGTCAAGAACATTATTTAGGCTCTGTTCAGACTGTATATCACCATGTAGTACAAATACTTGCTTGAGTTAAAGTCTCAGTAAGTACCTGTTTGCTCTTTACTATATTTTTGTGGCATGAACAAATTGTATTTATTTTTTACAGCAATACCGAGCTTATGTAGCCTTTCCAGACTTTTTCCGTAATTCAACGGTCAAGTGGTGGAAGAGGGAAATTGAAGAACTCTACAACAATACACAGAGTCCAGAGAAGAGCTTGAAGTTTGATGGCATGTGGATTGTAAGTGTGTGTGTATATGTCTGTGTATACATGAATAGGTATATGTCTATCTTTGTGTGCCTAAGCACATATACCAGTGACCTTTAGCCAAGAGGATAATAATCGACCAGGAAGACTCTGGGCATATCAGACACTTCCGCCACTAGGGAGTGGAACAACCTTAGTAGCCCTCACTCCTTGTACCTGGCCTGAAGTTCCTACTATAAAATTGCCCAGGAAATTGTTAAGAATTTCTTGAAACTTTGATTGCCTCACACCCTGAAGTAAATTTTTTTTAACCCTCTAACCACTCTGTAGGGGTTAATTGAGTTTTCTAGCTGGTTCTCACCAGGATTTGATTAACCTCCCCAGGCAGGCATCTACAGGCATTACTGAATGTTGAACAATTTATTCACTACTTCCTTGTCTCAGAATTGACAGGATGTAACTATCTTAAGAAGTAAGCTTTGTCTGTGTTTGGCATTTCTAGGATATGAATGAACCAGTGAGCTTTGTGAATGGAGCAGTTGCTCCAGGCTGCAGGGATACTTCACTGAACTACCCTCCCTACATGCCACGTAAGGGCCCTTGACTTTCTTGACTGGCAGAATCATGGCTAGAAGGAAGATGACCACTGCAAGAACCCAGCAGTCAGAAGTTCGCCCTGCCAGCACAGGGCATGTCCTCATTGGTGCTGTGGTTTATTGGAGGCCAGAGACCAAAGCACTTCAAGCACTTCACCCAGTTGGGCATGGGCAGGTTTCTGGACCAATTGGGCAAATTTCTTGAATTTGTTCAGAAAGCCCTTAATAATGGTAATGTCCCCCAAAGATTCTTACAGATAGATGTATCAGTTCTTCAGACTTACAGTAATTCCGCCACAGAAATTTGTTGTGTCATCAATAGGGAAAGCAGTGGGTTTGCCTTATCATGAAGTTGATGGACTTCGGAGTTATACTTGTGTTCATATCTTGGCTCCAGAAATTATTATCTCTGTGAGTTGTATGACCTTTCACAGATTATGTGATATTTCCAAATCTCATTGTGCTAAACTGTGAAAGCAGAAACCAATATCTTCATCATAGAATTATGATAAAAATTACATGAAATAATTAACATGTTAAAAGCTTGGATAAGAACTTGTCATGTAATGTTTGACAGCTGAGCATTCTTCCAGACACCTCTGCTTTCTCCGGTAAACTTGATGTTGAAAACACTGCATGTGCCATTGTAGCTCGGAGCCAGGTGCTGTGCTTGTGACCCTCGGAAGGAGGGGGGCCCACACAGGGCTCGAGCTAGTTTGAAGATTCAGAGTGCAGTCCCTGAAAGAGAGATCATGGATACATAGGATCAAGACTGATGTTCACATTACCATGTCTTTCCCCTCAGATTTGGAGTCCAGGGACCGGGGCCTGAGCAGCAAAACCCTGTGTATGGAGAGTCAGCAGATCCTGTCAGATGGCTCCACAGTGCGGCACTACGATGTGCACAGCTTATATGGATGGTCCCAGACCAGACCTACATATGAGTGAGTCACTGTCTCCCTTCTTCACTTGTCACAACCTGTAGGGACAGTGAGTGACTATCATAGCCCCCCTACTTTTTCTTTCATTCCCTATTCTAAGGGTTCAGAAGATTTTCATTATAGCTGTGTAGCAGTTCTTATTTATTAAACAAACACTCCTTGAGCATGGGGCCAGGTCCTGTGATAATAATTAGGAAAACATATTTAAGTAAGGAATGGTCCCATCAGTAGCAAACAAATAATCCTGCTGGGAAAGACATACATGGAGACACTGGTAATGATCACAATGGGCAACTGGTGCTGTAATAGCTTTAGTTATAAGAGGCAAAGGGAATACAGAGGACTCAGCATCTCACTCCTTTATTTCAAAAGTTAATCTTCTCTTGAAAATTTTTTTTTTTTTTTTTGGCCATTCTTGTTGTAGAGTCAACTGGTGTTCTACTGAATTAGCACCATCCCACTTTGTGAGGTTAACAAATAATACGAATTATCCTAAGGACAATCATATAAAGGAATTCACCCTTTGCTTCCATAAATAAATAAATAAATACACACACACACACACACACACACACACACACACACATATGTATACTTAAATTTTATATAATATATAATTTTTATTTTATTTAATATATAATTTTATTTATATATTACATATAATATTTATGTACTCATATATATTCAAGTATTAAATAAATAGCAAGATTTAGTGTGATTACTTACTATTTGGGGGCAATCTAGTGGGTTCTCTATATTGTGAAGTTCTTTATAAAACACTATGAGAAGGCACAACTCAATATCTCCATCATCTGGGTTCAGTCAGTGGAGACCTCAGAATCCCCTGTTTCCTCCAATCACGTACCAGACATTTTTATCATTATACCCTAAGCACAAGAGCTCTGGGAGGAGAGACAATATGACCTTTCCCCCCCTGCTGTGTCCTCAGCTCACCTTCTTGTTCTCCTTCAACCAGAGCCGTGCAGGAGGTTACAGGACAGCGAGGGATCGTCATCACTCGCTCCACATTCCCCTCTTCTGGTCGCTGGGCGGGACACTGGCTAGGAGACAACACAGCCGCATGGGACCAGCTGAAGAAATCTATCATTGGTGTGTAGGCTCATCCTCAGGGCCCTCTGATGGCAAGAAAGACAGTTAGGTTCCCTGGTAAAGGCGGGTATAGGTCATGAGAGCCTGGTCTGATACAACTGTGGTTCTCATTTCAGGCATGATGGAGTTCAGCCTCTTTGGCATGTCCTATGTGAGTGTACTTCAGATTTCTCCTAAGCCCCAAGAAAAAGGGGACATCTTTCAGAAGTCAACAGGCTCATTTTATTCCTTCTTGTTTCAGACAGGAGCAGATATCTGCGGGTTCTTTCAAGATGCAGAATATGAGATGTGTGCTCGCTGGATGCAACTGGGTGCCTTTTACCCCTTCTCAAGAAATCACAACACCATTGGAACCAGGGTAGGACAGTGTGGCCTCTGGTGTTTTGCATCACTTGAAACACAACCTCTGTTTTTGAGCTACAATTAATGCAGTCTGTATTTCCTGAGGACATCTTTAAAATCATTAAACCCTTGTGTCTCAGTGCACCATATTCTTCAGTATTCTTTAGATTAGTATTTTTGTCTAGGCAGAATTGTACCAAACATACCCCAAAAAGAATGTCTTGTGGGGAAATATTATCAGCCATCCTGGGAGAGCTTCAGTGACCTTTTCCAGTCTATTTAGAATGTTCTCTGGGTCTCATCTGTAATTATTTTTTGTTTAACAGCATGTGATCTTCATTTAGAATAGGCTTTAAGTTATTTTCTTAAGTTTCCTAGGTTCCCTATGGTGAGCTCCAAACCCTCTTCTTTTTCTTTCATAGAGACAAGATCCTGTATCCTGGGATGATGCCTTTGTGAGTATTTCCAAAAGTGTTCTGCAAACCAGATATACCCTGCTGCCGTATCTCTATACCTTGATGCACAAGGCCCACACAGAGGGTATCACTGTTGTACGGCCTCTTCTCCATGAGTGAGTATCCAGCTAGGATCCTGATGACTAATGGATAATCTTTTCATTATATAGCATGGCAGTTGATGTATATAATTCTTCCAAATTAAAGATATGACTGCCTTTTGACAGGAGCACAGATCATACCTTATGACTTCCTTTAGCACAGTGTTATACATGCCATAGGTCATTAATAAAAGACTATTTGTTAAATTGAAAATTTTTTAAATTTTTTCTTTCTAATTTTAGAATAGTTTCTTTCTAATTGGGCCATGTAAATTTTGTAGCAGTTTGGTTATATAGATTCAGGCCAAAATGAACTCAGGTCACAAAACACGACCTTTCCAGCAAGAAATCTGAGGGACAAGGGCCATCCTTATATTTAAAATGTGGCATGCCTCCAGAATCTTCTGGTTTACTACTGTTCTATTCCCCCCTCCCCGCCCCCGAGCACTTGATGTGCTGTGAACAGATCTCTATTAGCTATTTTCTATTCTTTGTTGATCTTTCTAAAAATACTGCACTTACACTCTATAGTCTATATAATATGTTTGAGCACTTGATTACATTCCATCTTGGTTTGCCTTCTGTTTCATGCATGTTGATTGTAAGCATCTCACTACAGGGACAAAGACTAATATTCCTTTGCAGCTTCACAATGCCTAAAACTCAGACTTTAGCGTGCTTATGGGTCACTAGGAGAACTTGTTTAAAAATGAAGATTCCCAGACTTCACCTCAAAGAAATTACGTATGACCATGGCAAAGTCCTGGGGACCGGCTATTTAACAGGCATACCCCCACGATTCTGAACAGGTAGTCTTGGTCTACACTATGAGATACATTGTCTAAGGAAAATCCTGAGCACTTGTTTAATAAATAAATGAGCTGATTACAAAAAAAGTTCCATGGTTATGAAGTGTGGAAATATTTTATAGGTAAGAATATATGGGGTGCTGGATATTCCTGACTATGCTAAGACCTAGGGCAGTGCCAAGGATGGTGCCTTCTGACTTGTATCTAAACTTGAAGAATTTCCTTAGGACCTTGGGCCAGGGCTCTCTGTTCAGTGTCTGATTGTGGCACTTTTATTTCTCTTTCCAGGTTTGTGTCAGACCAGATGACCTGGGATATAGACAGTCAGTTCCTTCTGGGTCCAGCCTTCCTGGTTAGCGCTGTTGTGGAACCTGTAAGTATGGAGGCCTCTGCCAAGGGGAGGATCCTGGTTGTGAGGCTTGGTGATTAGGGCAAGGAGAAGAGGCCTGGTCTGGTGGGGGTCCTGAGATGTGGTTTTCCTCCTCAGTCTCTTCCTCTTCTTCTGAACTGAAGTCCATCACTTAAGGGTTGTGCACCTCAGCTCCCTCATTTTTAGTCAGTCAGGAAAAAGAAAAGTATGACATATTTAAATACATAATTATTTCTCTGTTACTGAAAATAAGGAATGCAGGGTCAGGTGGGGGCAGCAGTGTAAAGAATTCATTACAATTCTCTAGCACCATGAAAACAGAACTTTTCAGGAGGATTGCTTGCAGCAATACGTGTGCTCTGGCTAGCTCTTCCCTTCCACCTACTGATGAAGAGACACATTATTACTAATTCATGATTGTTATAATGTTTGGTTGCTTAGGGTTACTGCCTGGCACACACCCACATTCCTTACAATAATAGGACTGTACTGACCCTTCCTGAACCCTTCATGAATCACTGATCCCTGGTTGTATTTGCATTGTTAGTAAAATAGATGGTAACTCATTTCTATGATCAATAGTTAAAGTTAGAGATACAACTATATCACTCATATGTGGGAGCTACATAGTCACAAAGATAGAAATAATAGACACTGGGGAAGCCAATGGGGGAGGTGGGGAGGGGGTTAGAGTTAAAAAAAAGAGAGAAATACAGGCTGGGCTCGGTGGCTCAGCCTGTAATCCAGCACTTGGGAGTTCGAGGTGAGTGGATTGCCTGAGCCCGCAGGTTCGAGACCCACCTGGGCAACTTGGCAAGACCTCATCTCTACAACAATCAAAAAAAATTAGCTGGGCGTGGTAGCACGTGCCTGTAGTTCCAGCTACTTGGAAGGCTGAGGCGGAAGGATCGCCGGAGCCAGCAGGTCGAGGTTGCAGTGGCCAGGAGCGGCCACTGCACTCCAGTCTGGGTGACAGAGTGAGACTCCAACTCAAAAAAAAAAAAAGAGAAATACAACTATATTAATCTTGTAACCATAACCAGTACACACTTTTGTTTCATTGTATGCATTGACTAATAATGGATTACAGTGAATAATGTTTTACTTTGTGGTCTGCTCCACTTATTCTTTTGCTTGGAGTTACTGATAAATGAAAACTACAGGTTCCTGGTATTGGGTACCAAGAATATGCAAACAATGAGTGTTATTGACAAAACACAATTGTAATTTGTAAGTTACATAGGTTGATGTTAATCAATAGTAAACTCCAATGCTTATGCTTATAAATACAGATTGTAAAATCCAAAGAGCTGAGCTGGCCTTGGTATTTACACTGGCATGCCTCCCTGGGTTCCAAATTCAGAAATAAACTTCTTTCTTCCCAGTTCTCTGCCTCTCATCTCTTATTGGTGGCACAAGAGAGCAGCACATGTTCCACAGACCATTTCACTATAAGAGTTCCTCCTGGCAGAAAAAGCCATTTCTTTTCTTTCTCTGCTGAAGATTTGGCTTCTGATTAAAATAGTTAATTAATTATGCTTTCCCCAAATCTTACTGTAACTACAAAATTGCCCTCTGCCCAGATCCAATCTCAGTTGTTTATCTCTTTAGAGAGGGTATAGGGCAAATCTACGTCTATTAGCAAACGGTGATTTTTTTTTCCTGAGGTCCAGGATCTCAAAGGGCTTTATGAAAGCCACTCGCTTTGAATAGGCAAATCTCCCACGTTTGAAAAGGAAGAGAAGAAAGACTTCCACAATATCACTGACCTCTAGAGAGATGAGGCCAGTGGGTCCAAGGTCATCAGTATCATTTTAACCTCTTCTCTAAGCAGATTTGTTACTCTGTTCAGGATAATGGACTTCATTGCCATGACTTCTTTGTGTTTAATTTTAGAATGTCAGAAATGTCACTGCATATTTCCCTAGGGCCCGCTGGTATGATTACTACACGGTAAGTGTTTCTGAATGTTTATGAAACTTGGAATGGTAGAATACAAAGGCTTTTGATTTGACAGACCTTAGGTCAAATATTGGTTCTATGACCCACCTGCTGTGTAGTCTTAGAGAAGTCACTTTAACCATTGTAGCCTCAATTTTCTCACCTCCAAATGAGTTGAGACCACTTCCCTCACAGAATTGTTGTGAAATAACTGGTCAGTGCTTAGCTTTTTATGGGTGTTCTTTTCATGTTATTTTCTATCTTTTCTTATACCATCACTATTCCATCACTATTCTCAGTGGCATATAAAGATAGATCCTAGTGAGCACTTGAGACTGTGTTATATAGTTTTTGTTTGTATCCTTGCCTGCTGTACATTCATAAGTATAGTGGTCTTTTCCTCTGTCTTCTTATAAACATATCCTTCTATTGCTTAGATGCTCAAAGAAGGGTTGCTACATGTAATTACCTAGGGTAAGCAAGTTATTAGAAAGTGTGCAAAATACATACAGATGACACAGATGTATGCAGCTCAATCATTGTGAGTCTAATCAGTGCAAGTGCATTAGGAACAAGGAACCAGCAAGAATCTCCCTGCCACATAATTTCTGCACCAGTATGAGCCCAGAGACTTAACTGGGAAGACAGGCTCTTCCATAACAACTATGGTGTTCTCTTGCAAGGACACAGGTAGGTTAGAGTTTGACGCTGTAACCAGGGAGTGTTTCCTTGCTCTCTAACCAGGCCTTCTCTTTTAAATTTCTAAGGAAAACAAAGCAGAGGACTAGAAATACAGCAAAGGGACACACCCAGAAAGATAAAAAGCAGAGCATACTCTAGCCCCTTTCTTCCAATGGTATTGCAGTGAGACTGGGTGAACACTGGGAAAGGACATGCACATTGTATTCCTCCTCTTCTCTGTCCTGTGGAGCCTGAGTCCTTCATAACTCCCTGGGCTGAAAGACTCTGCTATGTGATTTCCATCCAGGACTTTCCTGGGAAAGAGTGGTTAACTTTCTTTAAGTGAGCTTGGCCTTTGTCTTGCATTTGCATGTTGACTGCCTCATTAGATAACAGAAGATAGTTATGGTTGAAGAAGAAAAGATAAAAAAAATCATGTGGGAAGACAAAGTTGATGGAGCAAGCTGTTTATAAAATGATACAATTTTTATGTTTAATTAAAATGAAGATTAATCCCATGGTTGAGATTAATAAAGAAATATCTTAATTAATCTTCCAAAATTTGGGGTATTTATTCTATGTTACAGAGTAGAGTTTGGCCAAATGTGGTCCACAGCCAGATATGGATGTTACCTGATTTATAAATAAAGTTTTATTGGCGCACAGCCGTGCACATTTGTTTACTTGTTGTCAACAATAATTGCTCCTTACCTCTAATGTAGCAGTTATCAAATTGAGGGAATTTTGGCTATAAGGGACCATTTGGCAATATCTGGAGACATTATTGGTTGTTACAATGTGGGGGGGCAAGGAGTGGGCAGCTCCTAACATCCAGTGGGTAGACACTAAGGAATCGGCTAAAAACAAAAAACACAGGACAGCCCACAACATAGAATGAGCTGGCCCAAAATGTCAATAGTGCTGATACTGAGAAGCTCTGCTCTAGTTGAGAAAATGTGGAAGAACAGAAGGATGGTCTCTGGGAATTGAGGTTTATGATTCAAGTGAGAAAGCATCTTTTTCTGTCACACATGAGGCAAGATAAAGATGTCAAACATAAAGGCAGATGTAGGACATTATGGAGTATGCACTGTGGAAACCCAAAAGACAAGGGACCTTAACAAGACATTATAGCAGCAGTACAGAATTTTGTACAGCACTTGAGTGAATACAGCAAGTGTAAATCAGGGTGTGCCAAAAGGTGATGAACAGTCAGCAAGTTCAAAGGAGTAGATGAGATGTCTGGTGAAATGCATTGTTCAAAAAGGTGCATACCCTCTCCCTCATCATCTCTGACCTTCTTCTGTCCCACAGGGTGTGGACATTAATGCAAGGGGAGAGTGGAAGACCTTGCCAGCCCCTCTTGACTACATTAATCTTCATGTCCGTGGGGGTTACATCCTACCCTGGCAAGAGCCGGCACTGAATACCCACCTGAGGTGAGGTGAATTATGGAACTCGGGGCCCCCTTTACATATCCGATAGCTCACCAGTTTGTAATGAAGCCCACCAATATGTAAGAATCACTCTCAAGCCCACTTATTCATTTTATTTTTATTTTTTTGAGTTGGTCTCTCCCTCTGTTGCCTGAGCTGTAATGTAGTGGCAACCACCTGGCTCAGGTGATCCTTCCTTCTAAATAGCTGGGGATACAGGTGCATGCCACTAAAACTGGATAATTTAGAAAAAAATATTTTTGGTAGTGACAAGGTCTTGCTATGATGCCTAGGCTGGTCTTGAACTCCCAGGCTCAGCAATTTGCTCACCTTGGCCTCCCAAAGTACTATGATTACAGGCATGAGCCACCACAACTGATGACACTTGTTTTTTATTTGTTTGCTCATTTGTGTTTTAACCTTTTCAATCTCTGTACTCTTTGAACAATTATGAACAACTCTTTTAGATGTAAGTAGGTGAGATGACAGATCTAAAAGTGGCATTTCAAATGTAAGTCAAAAGAGAAGCAACTATGAGTCATGATAGTTTTAGAAGACTTTTGGATCTTATTGACTCTTTCTGAAGAAAACTATTGCTGGAAAATAGTTTAAGCCATATCACAACTGATGCCAGAGACTGAGACCCCTCATATACAAGCTTTAAAAATTCTAGACTTAAGCTTATATAGTAATTAAGGATAGCTATCATCAAGTGAAGACTTACTTCGTGACTAGAAGTGAACTAGTATGAGAATTTCTATTTGGGGATTATCTATTTTTTCTTAACAAAAGGAAAACATAAACTCTGTGAGGTAGGTACTGTTATGTCCACTTCACAGATTAGCAAAGAGGCTAAGGATTTACTCTGAGTCTCACAGGTAGTAAGTAGATAAGCAGAGGCTAAAATTCATGTCTGTCTGATTCCAATCCTAAAGTTCTTAGAGTCTCCTCTTCATTTGATTCAAAAAATTCAAATAAAGGCAAAGAACTTAGGGTATTTGAAAACAGAACTCACTGTACCTGTTTTAGGAAATTAGGTCATGAAAGTGAAAAGATTTCAGCATCAGGATTTTCCTCAAAAAGGGGAAAAGAACATACTAATTAGTTTGCTTGTAGTTTCTTTAAGAACCTTAAAGAAGAATTCCCTTTGATTCATACACTAAATCACTCATTCATGACATGAAGTCACGTAGCTAGATGGAGACAGAACTGAAACTAGGCCACACATCTCTCAAATCCTAGCACTCGGTCTTTATCCTATGAAGCACTTCCTTTCGTACCTTTGTGTTTCTGTGAATACTCTTGGTTTTTGGCTGTAGCTTTGTTTTTAGCTAATGCCTATCTCTCACCTCAATGCAGCCGCCAGAAATTTATGGGTTTCAAGGTTGCCTTGGATGATGAGGGAACTGCTGAGGGCTGGCTCTTCTGGGATGATGGGCAAAGCACTGGTGAGTAGGGGTTGCCTGGGACTCATGCCAGTAGCATTGACTACTTTCCTGGGTATCTTACAGGCCTGCCTTTGCCTTTTCCATGTTAAAACAGTTTTGAATTTTTGCATATAGTCCTTTGTTACTTCAAGTGTATAATCATACTGTACATAATCCTTATGCCTCATGTCTTGTGTAAATGAAACTTAGTTCTAAATCTCTCAGTATTACTCAACTGTACTAATTCCCTGTGGAGGGCAACAGTATAAGAGCCCTAGAAAAAGTCTACTTGTAACCAACTGAGATAAACTTTCATATGATTTATGGTTAAGGGTACATTTCCTAATTACATGGCTTACTATCCAGCAAGAGAGGCATGCTCCTATCAGTGTGTTATTTATTTGGGGAATTTTCCATTGGGAGTTTACAAGAATTGGAAAAACTGTCAGAAGACTCAAGTATCATTAGCAATTTCTAGACCAGTGTTGTTTGGTAGCACTTTCTACACTGATGGAAATGTTCTCTTTCTTCTGCTGTTCAATATCTATAGGTGTATGTGATTATTAAGCACTTGAAGTGTGACAAGTACATCTTAAAACAGAATTTTAAATTATATCTGATGTTAATGAACTTAAATTTAAGCAGCTACATTTTGCTAGTAGCTACGGTCTTGAACAGCAGTTCTAGAGGATAGCCAATGGCTACCGACTGAGGGATGAGTCAATTAGAAAGAGGCTAGCACATGGAGAAGAGTGAGATAGCCACAATGGTAGGGTGTAGGCTGTAAATAGCTAAAATAGTGCTCCTGATTGGATCAGCAAATATGTTGAATTTCATATTCTTTCTGGGTTTGTGGCATACATTAAGGATGAAGGACAAAGAAGGTTTTTCTTTGATTATCTTTGTACTCTGAAGATCACATTTTAAAAATTGTCTAATATCCCTCAAAATAAACCCACCAGCACACCAGTCTTGGTGTTTGTGTATGTGAGTGTACATGCATGTATATGCACTGATGTGTACATCTAGCAAAATGAATCTGAAAATTCTGAGGTGCCTAGGAAGATGTTGGGAATAGTAGACAACAGCAAGAGAAGTGGCTTGAGAACAGTGTTAGGGAACAGTGTATATGAGATGACTCTGTCAGACAAATGCATCTACACCCATTCATTTCAAATGTCTTGTGTAAGCTGAACTCGGGTGCAGAGTCTTATAAGATTCCATAAAGAGGACTTAAATTACAAAATGGAACTATGAAAAAAAGAAAAAGAAAAACAATATCCTTATTTTTTCAACTAAGACAAGTAGGCAATTAGAATAGAATTGGTATATTCTCTATCATAGGATTCTATAGTATAGCTTCAGGCTGTGTTTATTTTGTTGTTTATTTGCAGATACCTATGAAAAAGGACTCTATTACTTGGCCAACTTTTCTGCCAGCCAGGTGAGTGTGACTGAGACTATGAAGGGAGACCAGAGTTCTACTAGGTTAATAAGATGCTGAATATCTTGAATACCTTCATTGCTTTTCTTGTTAATCCACATCCTTTCATTCCCCCAGAGTTCAGATGGAGATTTACTATGCTTCCAGGAGGTTTTCTGTAATTAAACCTACTAGTATCTCATCAGTAATAATCATTATTTCAACTTACTATTTCAGAGATGGACAGAATGTTTCTATGTTATCTAGACCCTGTTCCTTAGTTGCCTTGAAATAGGCTGCATATTTTGTGACTCCTCCATCTATAGAAATATAAGTTTCTTGGCAGTTGAGATCCTCATCTTTTATAGAGTTCAGAGAAAGGCTAGGCACCCTGCAGCTGCTTGTCAATGCAAAGTGGATAGTAGTTGGTAGTAGGAGATAGAGTGCTAAGGACACAAAATAGAAGTTCTGAAGTTGTCTGCCTTCATGATCTACAGTTGTTTCTAAAAATAGGTCAGGCAAATTTTGAACTAATTCTGCTATTTTTTCCCCTGTGGTTTCTCTTATCTCCAATTTGACAGAATTCAATGCAGAGTCATATAATTTTCAACAATTACATCATTGCTACAAACCCTTTGAAACTGGGCTACATTGAAATCTGGGGAGTGGGCAGTGACCCCATTACCAGTGTCAGCATTTCTGTCAGTGGCATGGTCATAACACCCTCCTTCAGCAACAACTTCACAGCACAGGTTTGTAACTAACTAGTGAAAAGCTCAACCCTAATATTCCTGGTGCAGTGTCTGACTGTTTCCCTTCCAAATGACACTTGCAAAACACTTTAGAAATCCCTCTGTTTTCAGTGTGTTGGGAATGGATGGCATGGAGATGAAGGAAAATTTATGGTCTGTTTGGAATTGAGGGCCTGGATCCTTACTTTCCATGTTTGTCTTCTTGTCTGCAAACTCATATCAAACTTTGTCTTTATTCCCTCATCTGTGCCTCAGAGATCAACTTCCCAAACAGCTTGAACTACTGTATTTCACCAAATATGACATAATCAGTGAAAAGTTACTTCATTATTTCATGTACCACAAAGAAAGATAAAAGGATGGCAAAACTATGATTGAATGCCTTCTATCACTCATTTTTTTTTTTTTTTAATTTTAAACTTATAGAAATCTTCTGGAAACTTCATTAGACATAGATTTTTATCTATATATTTTAGTATTTTAAGTGATAATACAGAGGAAAATATTGATTAGAGATACACTGTTGAGTCTTCCTCAAAGTAATTTAGAAGTGGAAGTCTCTGAATGTGAAGTTTTAGAAATTATTTAACCAATTTTTATCACATATTTTATTTTATTATTTAACTGGTTCATTATTATGTATTATTATTTGAAAGAAATACAAATTGGTTAAAAACTTCCTCTATACTACCAAGGGTGTTGTTCAGCATTTCATAAAAATTCTTCCACTTTTGTCTGAGTTTTTTTTGTTTTTTTAAATCGGAGTCTCACTCTGTCACCAGGCTGGAGTGCAGTGGTCATAATCATTACTCACTGCAGCCTTGACCTCCTGGGCTCAAGCGATCCTTCTGCTTTAGCCTCCCATGTAGCTGGAACTACAGACAGGCACCACCACTCCTGGCTCACTTTTTTTGTTTTTTTTTTTTAATAGAGGCAAGGTCTCACTGTGTTGCCCAGGTTGGTAGAACTCCTGGCTTCAAGCAATCCTCCCGCCTTGGCCTCCCAAAGTGCTAGGGTTACAGGCATGAGCCATTACACCTAGACTCGAGATTTTTCTTCCAAGTCACTAACATGCTTTATGTAAGTTCTCACCCTAGTACTTTCCTAATAATACTGTAACTTCTTTCTTAAATGTTTTTCATTCTATCCATTCATAACATAGCAATAGTAATGAAGTTCACATAGGTATCAAAAGTAACAATTATGTCAAGAGTGCTGCCAGGTTCATAGTAATTCTTCAACTGTTAATTACAGGACTCATTCTGGTCTCATAAGAGCTAAATATGCAAAAAAGCTACACCTTGAAATTCATGCAGTACAGTGGCTCCAACACTTATTATCCTTTCTTTCTTATATGCTTACATACTGTTTTTCTTCCTGAACTATTTTTTCTTTTGTAAATAATCCTTCTAGATTACTAAGCCTGAAACAAAAGTTTTCTTTTTACTTTGCTTTTTAAAAATGTGTTTCCTCATACTTGTGGTTTTCTTGTCAACAACTTTGCTAACTTTACCAAGAGCTCATCAAGGACTTTGCCCCATTCTGTTGTGACCAACTCATGGACTGACATACAAGTTCATGACTGCACACACAGTGAAACTTTTGGGAAAGTATTTGCCTAGAAAAAAACAGGACTGTTGGACTCTTACTGGAAAATCATTGGGGTGCCAGGAGGGAATAGAATAAGAGGGAAATGAAAAGATCACTCCAAGGAAAATCAACACTTCAGAAGAATGGAAAAGAAAGTGTTCTCTCCAGTTGTCTGTGCAGTTGTTTCTTTGCAGTGGTTGCATATTGCATTATTTAGAGGCTGATGCCTATCACTGAATAATCTTTGTACCCTAAGAAGTTAGGAAACACCCTTCCCACCTGAAAGCTTGAAGGAAGTCTGTCAGCCAGGCAATAAAATGTGAAAGTATTAGAGAGAGTTATGTGGACCTTTTACTTGTACCTGATGTACTTGTGTTTTGGAGATTTTGACAGCGTATGGCCAATATTTTTCCTTTGGTTCCCAACAGGTTTTAACCATTGATGTGACCGACAAAGACATCAGTCTACATAATTTCATTTCATTGACATGGAAAAGCACTCTGTGAATTTTTAAAACAAGATCCTAACTATAAACAAGATTGAAACTACTTATACTTCATACCCCTAAAATTATTGTGTTGCTAATAAGTTCATGCCCATTGTTGGTCAAATTATTTTATTAATTTTGTTATATGTTTTGTCTGTGAATCCTAAAGATTAAATCTTAGCCCCATGGGATAAGCAGTAGGGAGGTGTGGAAAATCTATGAGTTACCTTAATGTTTTTATGTGATTAGTATTGTACTGATGGTTCATTATATGACATTTGTTGAAGATGAACTGGGTTCATGGTAAAGTGTGTGCACATGTTTGTAATCACAGAATAGGCCCAATTCTTGCAAAATACACAAGAGAAAGCTTGCAGTGGCAGATTCAAGTCTAGAAGCTAACCAGCACCTCAAGAAAGTATCCAGAAAGAACATCTGGTAGTTGGTTATAGGCAGAGGGGAACACTATCCTGAGGACATAATATAAGCAGGAGAAACAGGAAAACACAAGCAGGAAGGATCAAAGGAAACAAAAGATGTTGATATAAAAGATCATAAATAGGGACAGAATGTAAAATTATCCGTAGTAGACTCATGGGGAGGAAAAATGGAGAGTCAACTCACCTGAAATAGAGAAGAGGGGCTAGGAGAAATCCTCAGCATATGGGAATGGGGATGGGGATGAGATTTAAGATGGCAAAGCTGAAGAATAGAGTTGGAATGTAAAAAAAAATAATAATAATTTTCTCTGTAGTGTGGTTTGAAATGTATAAATCTTATTTCTTTATTCTGTGCCTAGTATACATAACCGCAATTCACACAAGCATATACAGTTTTTATGTCAGGAAAAAAATAAATGTGACTTTGCAAGAGATTTTAAATTTTGTAATATTTGACCTGAGTAATCTTCATTTGGGGTTAAGAATTCTTGTTCAGCAAACTTGTGGGTTGGTCTTTTTGGTTCTTTTCAGAGTTCCTCTAGTCTAATCCACCAATGAAATGGCCAGGTTTGAGATTATCTACCCTTTTTCTTACTTCCCTATGATGAGTCTTTCTTAAGATTTAGGTTTGTAGAAGAATCTTCTTGAATTGTTGTCGCTTTAATTGTCATAGCAGCCTATATATTTATTAAAATATCAACTCTGGCAAAAATAGGAGTTGCAACACTACTGCTTACAACACTAGATAGTTAAAATTTGAGATAAATAAATTATATGTTAATATTCAACAGAAATATTTACTTTTAGTATTCCTTGAAAATGAGTGATCGGGCCCAGTGACTCAGCCTGTAATCCCAACATTTTAGGAGGCCAAGATGAAAGGCTTGCCTGAGCCCAGGGGTTCGAGACCAGCCCGGGCAACTTGGTGAGATCTCATCTCTACAGTAAATCACAAAATAACTAGCTGGGGGTGGTATGCATCTGTAGTTTCAGCCACTTGGAAGGCTGAGGCAGAAGGATCTCCTAAGCCCGGCAAGTCTAGGCTGCGGTGGCCTCGAGCGTTCCACTGCAATCAAGCCTGGGCGACAAGAGTGAGACTCCAACTCAAAAAAAAGAAAAAGGAAGAAAATCAGTGTGCTTAAAATGAATGTGTCTACTTTCCTATGTCTTCTTTTCTTATAAACTAGAAGTTCACCCTGCTGGCTCACTCATGTGTTAGCATATGCTAAGTCTACAAACAAACAATAGTGTTAAATTAGTTTAATGCTCTAATGATCACAATTAGGGGCTTCTGGATGAAAGCCCAAGCTAACCAGTGAAACATATAAAAGCAGCCATGAAAATCCTTTGATCAAAAGGTGGGAAAACCTATCAGTGGCCCTCTAATCAGCTTAGGAAGGCAACAAGGACAAAAGAATTATTTATTTGATACTAAAGAATATCTTATGTTACCATCTGGGATATATGGAAAGAAATTGGCTCTGGCTGCTGCAAAGTACTCAAAGCCAACACCCTAGTGAGACCTGTGGGGGTCTGGAGCATTCCTAGTGTCAGGGACCTCATGACAGTCTGGTGAAACCTATTAAATCTCTCCTCAGAACAATATTTTAAATGCATAAAGTGAAATGCATACTATTTCAAAAGAGTCCTACATATTGAAATATACTTATCCAACTGTTAAAGAAAAGCTTATATAGTAACACAGGAGGTGTATTTTTTTCCATGACCAAATTAAATTAAAAGTTCCAACAGTGGAACTAACAAGACCATGATTTCAATGTATTGATCAACATGAATAATATTTTGAGATACCTATGACAATTTCATAGTGTGGTATATGATTCCATTTTTTGACAACTCATTTGTACTGTTAAAATTACTGCCTGTTGTCCACACTTATAGTCTAAGGAAATGCCAAATTTCAGCTGGAAATCAGTGAAAAAATATGTATTTTTTTCCTATGTAAGTTATGCTCATATGCTCCTTGAAGGTCTGGGGCCCCTAGGTTAAGAACCCCTAGATTAAGGTATGTCAGCTTCCCAGACTCCAGCTTAGCAACCCAGACCCATGTAATTGTAACTGTTCCAAGATGTCTTACGTGTCAGTCTCTCCTCTCTCTTGAATTCACTTTTGGCTTTAAAATATATAATAATTAATTAATTAATTTTTAAATTAACAAACTATATAGTTACGATATACAACATGATGTATACACATATACACACACTGTAGAATGGCTAAAGTGAGCAACTTAGCATACCTATTACCTCACATACTTATTGTTTTGTGGTGGCAATATTTAAAAATCTACTCACTTAGTAATTTATTTTTCTTTTTTTTTCATGTCAAAATGAAACATCTTTAATTCTTTCTTTTCTATACCAACAAATCACAAAGTTTTCATTGAAAGCAGGGATCTGAAACTCATTTGTGCAAAGCAGAAACTCATAGGAAACATTCTACAAAAGGACATGAAATCCTTGGTATGGAAGATAAATTGTTTCTTGAGATTGTCCTCAACCAGAAACACCAGATTCCTGTGGTTCTCTAATATCACCTTGTACAAAATTCGTTGAGCAAGATCTAGGCATTCCCACTCTTCTGGAGAGAATTCTGTGGTCACATCCCTGAATGTCAATAGCCCCTGGGAACCAGCCATTTTTGCCTCTTCCTCCTCCTTCTTCTCTGGCATTTCTTTTCAGGTGAGATTATCATCTCCCAGCTTCTGAGTGTCCCAGTGTTCTCCCTAAGGATTACCCGGACCTGCATGTCACAGGGTGAAAACGGCAAAAACAAAGACACACGGTTCTCTCCGAGATCAATTTTTCTTTTTTATATATTTTTCAGAGACAGAGTCTTGCTATGTTGCTCAGGCTGATCTCAAACTCCTGGCCTTCAATGATCCTCCTGCCTCAGCTTTCCAAATAGCTGGCATTATAGGTGTGAGTTCCTGTGCCTAGTTCTCTTAACAATTTTCAAGTATACACTTAATACTGGCTTCTAAGAAGCCAGTTCGACAAGGACATAAAGACCTTCAGTCTAGAATTAGACTCCTAGCAGCTCTGGGAAATGTTCCTGGAGGAGTTGGATCTGCAGCTCCCTTAACTTTCCCCCTGAAGCAGAGCTGTCCATCTCTAAGTACAAAGTTGTCTCCTTCCCTTCCCCATCACAGGTATTAGGCTGCTAGTTGAAGTCTTTTATGCTGCTTTTGTTTGAGGGAGAAAAACTCAGAAGCAATCTCTAGGGTCAGGAGCCTTGGTTAAGTCATTTTGCCTCTTTTGGATCTGGTTTCCTTGTTGTGAAATGCTAGCATCAGACTAAAACTGTGATTTTCAAATTGTGGAGATGTGCTCTGCTCTATTTAGGTCTTGGAGTGGAGAGAAGGCAGATTGGCAGGGTTCTGAGCTCCCCACCCTGGCTTCAGTCAATCATTTATATCCTGGAATCCCATTTGAAGAAAGAATTTTAAATATATATATTTATTTATCAGCAGTCCTCAAACATTTTGGTCTAGGACTTCTTTACATTCTTAGAAAAATTTATTGAAGATTCCAAGAGCTTTTCTTCATGGGGTTATAACCATTTATAGTTCTCATATTGAAAATTAAATTAACTGCATTCCCCAAAATAAAAACAATTAGTCACAAGAATAACATTATTTTACAAATGTCTTTAAAGCCTAGCTTAATAGAAAAAATCTGAATTTCCATACCTGCTTTCATCTTTTGTTATATGACATGTTATATAGCCTCTGGAAAACTTCATTGTATGCTTTTGAGAGGGAGTAAAACAAAACAAGCAAGTATTTTCTTAGAATTTTGGTGAAAATATCTTTACTCAAAACCCCCCTAGAAAGGGTTTTAGGGATGGACCCTAAAAGGTCTCTTTTTACTACACTTTTTTTTTTCTTTTTTTGAGACAGGATCTTGCTTTTTCACCCAGGCTGCAGTGCAGTGGCGGGATCATAGCTAACTACAGCCTTAAAATCCTGGACTCAAGGGATCTTCCCGCCTCAGCCTCCTGAGTAGCTGGGACTACAGGTGTGTGGCATCTGTATTTTAATTTAAAATTTTAATTTAAAATTAATAACAAGGTCTTGCTGTGTTGCACAGGCCGGTCTTGATCTCCCGACCTCAGACAATCCCTCTCGCCTCTGGCCTCTCAGACCTCACTTTGAGAACCACTTTACATGGAGCCATATCTGGTTTGTGGCTGCCCCAGAGCAGCCCCTGCAGCAATGACCTACACTTATAACTCCTGACCAGCTACTAAGGGAAAGGTTGGAGTTTTATTTTTTTTACATATTTTCTGATTTTCAGATCACATAAGCTTTATCTCTTCATAAGTGAGTCAAAGTAAAAATTAACAATCCCAAACCCTTTGACTTAAAAGGGAAGAAATCTTTCCTTTCTTATTAATGTTATAACATTGTCATATGTTTCTATGAAGATAAGATTCTGTTGGCCTTGGCAGATATAGTCAGGGGCTCATCAATATTCCCTTGTTCTTGTCACTGCAGCAGAATCATTGAGAGTTTTGCACCTGGTCTTGGGGGATGGTACCCTGCAAGTTAGGGTCA